TTTTCCAAAAAAGTGTGGTATGCTTATCTATGTTGTTAATTTAAAACATTATAAATTTTGAAGGAATTAATAAAAGGCTATGCAACTAATTAATTAGAAAGGCAGCCTAATCCCAGGAAGAATACAAACATAGACATTATATGTCAGGATGTGTCAGAGTTGAACTTGTAAACAACTTGTCCACTTGAGATAAAGCATTTCAAAATGCAGCTGCTCTCTGCTTAAAAAGGTGAGCTACAAAACATTAGGCTTTTGGACAAGTCACAACATATCAAACCACACTCTAGCTCAAAAATTAATTATAAAAAAAATAACATTTGAAAGTAAGTTTCACACCCAACGCTCCAACATTAAACATTGTATCTGCTCAGATAAAAGATCCAAGTGTTGAAAGCAACACTAGTGTAGTATTTCCAATTTTCACATTCATTATGGAAACAAAGTTAAAAGATACAGAAAATATTTAGTAACACTGGAATAAAAAAATTAGAAAAACTGAGATAAGCACACTGTAGAAGATGACAGCATTACTCTCACAAACTATAGAATAGACTGTAAACCTTCTAGCCTCTGGAAAAGCATGCACAAACAAATTTATTCTACAGGGACTTTGATCTTTTGTATTAGTATCCCACAAACAATAACCTTTAGACTACAAAAACAATGGGAAACATAATTCACTTAGGTTATATGAAATTCTGAACCACTTCATTTGTATGCTATTATTAGACATCTGTGTACCACCCTTTGTTAAAAAGGGCAAGGTTTCTCTGGCTAGAAGGCAGTCCAAGAAGAAGGAAAACCATCAGACAGCCAATGCACAAAAAACTCAAAGAATACACAGGTCCACAAATCTTAAGCAAGCGAACATTCTAGGAAAAACATATATCTATATTTTTATTTGTATTCTTGTTAACTCCTGTTTCCTTAATTGTGGCTTTTCTATCTTTCAGAATTGTCATTTTAAAGTTTTATTCAGAACCATTATATGTACCTATAGGACAAACTTAGACACTTATTTTCTCCTAGAAGGAGAATTAAATGATACAGTTCAGAATAGTACATTACTGTCACATAAACACTCTGGGAAAAACTCAACACCATCAGAGGTTGGAAGAGATTTACAGTCTCTAAATTTATCCAGTTATTTAAATCAGTTACAGTCTCCAAAAATCAGGGTTAGTGGGCCAAGATCACTGTTTTTCAAAGTATAGCCCCTGCACCCACAGCATTGGTATCTCCTATAACTTGATAGAAATGCAAATTCTTGGGCCCCACCTGGACCTAATGAACCTGTAGGATGGAGCCCAGAGTTGTGTTTTAACAAGCTCTACAAGTGATTCTTAGACAGGTTTAAACTGGAGAACTACTGGCCTAAACCAGTAATTTAGAATATTTGCTCATAGCAACTGCAACTGGCTGCTTTAAAATCAGTTGGGAAACATAAATACTGGCTCCAGTTCCCTACTTCCCTTAATTAAACATGGAGAGGGAATGTGTGTGTAGCTTCCCAGGTGAACCTGATGCACAATGAGGCTTAAGAACCAGTCCTAAGTTAGCGGCTCTCAAAGTGTGGTCCCCAAACCAAGAGCATCAGCTGGGAACCTGTTAGAATTCACAAGCAGCAGCCAAAGACTGAATCAGCAACTCTTGGAAAGGAGCATACCCAGCAATCCGTTTTACTAAGCTCTCCAGGAGATTCTGATACATGGTGAAGTCTGAGAACCTCTGCTCTAAGTGATCCATCCTGAATGGAGAACATATGAAATGAATGTGGATTTCGTGGAGAAGAATAACTAGGAGACTAGTTCAAATTTACCACAGAGCTGAGTTTATTCTTCCTATGCTCAATACATACATCATAATATATGGAGATACCCGTGTGTTCAGTATGTAGGATACGCTTATGTCTATTTTACAGCACTTGGAATGTAATCCTACTATTTTTAATGCTTATCGAGTTTTAGAGTTGTTTTATCTTTCCTTTTGAGTTGCACTATTAACCAAATTTATAATTCACTCATGTAAAGTCCATAGGCAGAAATTATAAAATTGTTTCAATGAGAAAATGCATTTAACTTCACAATTGACACTAGTCTGCTTTGTGGCATTATCTCTAAGAACGCTGGGGAAGAAAGCCCTGACTAATCACTTACGTTTATATTATTCAGAAAAACAGGTACAAAAGAGAACACAATAAAGGGCAGAAAGGTCAGGTGTAGGAAGAAAGTAGCTAATAAGGCCAGCACATATTTAGTAAATAACTTGGGTATTTATTTTCCCCTTTCCTTTTTCTAATGCTTCCTATCCTTTCCTTTTGATTTCCCCCCTTTCTTTCTTGTCCTCCCTTATATCTAGGGAATGTCATATTTACAAGGGCACTTAGATATCATCTGCCACAACCGTCTAAATCTACCAATAGAGAAAACTAAGGCTCAGATAAGGCAAAGAACGTGCCCAAGATCACAAGCCTGATTTTAAAAGCAGGTCTGTCCAACTTTCAAAATCTGTTTTCTACTACATTCCCTGCTTCTTTAGAAAAATGCCTTGCAAAAAAATCCTAGTACACTGTTCTTAAACTTTATTCTGCTATACAGAGAATGATACTACATAACACAATATACATATTTAAGACAATATACACAAAACCACATACTTTCCCTACTCTACACTTTACTTATAATGCTAATCTTTTTAAAAACTACCTTCTCATAAACCAATTCATTGCTAGACTAGAGGAAAAAAGAAAATCAGTTCAATACTGATAATTTGAAATTACTATTAAGTCACATTAACAGAAGTTAATATTTATTTACTGCTCGTATGTGCCAAGTATACCCCATCTATCTATCGATCTATCTATCTATCTATCTTCAGGTTGGAGGCCCCTCTCCATCCTTACTTCTGATCCTTTCACAACTTTTTCAATTAATGTAACATAGTAAAGGGTAAAATCTTTCAAATCTTCTTGTCATCCTCCTAAAGTTCTTGGGGGTACTATAGTGCCCATGAAAGTAGATGATCTTATTTACATCTAGCATGTAAATTACATTATCACATTTCCCCTCAACATCTTAGGACAAAATTTATGGACTATACTTACCTTTGAAATAAAAAATTAAATCAAAAAAGCCTTACACCACTTTGACAAAAATGGTGTTTTATGATTTAATTTTGATGCAGAGCATAGATTTGGAATAAAATGACCTTAAGTTTAAATCCTAGCTCTGCCACATACCAGCTATGAGACCTCTCCTGAGCATGATACTTATATCACAGGGTTGATGTGAGGATCAGTCAAAAAAATGTTTACCCTTTCCCACCTTCTCACCACCCCTCATTCTGCCTATAGAACTTTTTTTTTAAGCTTCTTCTTAGATATGATTTTTCTCTAAATAACCACAGCATTTCCTTTCCCCAAAGGGAAAGTCACTACATTCTCCATAGTTTTATGAGTACATATTTCACTGTGTAAGTAGTTATTCACAAATCTCTTTCCTTCTTCAGACTGTGTGTTTCTAGACAGCAAGAATCCCAGAGCCTTCTAGAGTGCATGAAATATATGAGAAAGTAAAAAAAATGTTTGATAAAGGGTACTAAAGAATGAATCCTTGCCTAGATGGGCAAGTCAAAAGCAATACCTACACAGTAATCCACACTCTTCATTTTCACCTAATGGAATGAAGGAAGCAAAGTTATCCACTGATAATTCTGCTTCTTGATTGCTAAGAAATTCATTTCCATGACTAAATCCACCATTTCTTGTGAAGCACAAGAAACTAGTTAGAAAGGGACCTGTCCTAGACCAAAATGCACCAAAAGAATGTTTACGTTTGCCTTGTAATCTACATAACCTATAGTTCCCCCCAACTGTGAGTCCTCTAACATGGAAATTGTGATAGTGCTCAAAAAGAATAAAACAAAACTGATTTTCTCCACCAAGAGGAAGATATTTAAAGACCCCTAAATATCCCTCCCAAATTTTCTTTTCCAACCTGCTTTTGTTCTATAGTCTCTTCTCTGCACATATCGAGCCAGATTAGAAAGATGAAAGGACTTAAAGGAAGGGTCTTTAAAGCCTACTATATTAACTATGAATCAATAATTTGGAAGAAATTACCATATTTCTATACTAAAGCTCTAAAGTAACTAAAAAAACTCAATTTCTTCCATTACCTAAAAGGGCTAAACTTTCTTTAACACACCTTTTGAAAATGTTGGATAGGTCACAAACTAGAACAGCCTTTAGAGGTTACCAGAAAATAAACACATCCTCTTAGGACCAAAAAACAAACAAATAAAAACAAAAACAACAATCAGATATTTTTTCAGTAAATTCTTATTTGCCTGATGAAATATTTCAATAGCTTATAAAAACTGCCCTGATTTGAATACATTTTTTATGGTTAAAATTACTCTGAAAAATTACACAAATGTTAAAAGGTCTTAAGGGCTTCCAAAGCAAAGACAGTTTATGCCGTGGTGAAGTTCTTAAAGTCAAAGAGTCAACTGATTAATAACAGTCCTTATATATTTTCAGACTTAAACATCACCATCACATACTCTGAGGCATAGAATTCTTAGATTTTGCTAAGTACTTTTTCAGCACTTCAAAAAATACAAAGCTGCTCCTTAAGGAAAATTTTGATTCTCCTGTAGGCACTTCTCCCTAATTTCCATAGCACAATATCAATAAATAGTTATCATCAATACTGCCATTAATTCATCTGATGATACATGTGTATGTGTGTGTCTGTGTGTACTTAGGAAAAGTGGGAAAGGATATATGCTGCCATAGTGGTTACCTTCAGGAGGTACGAGTGATTTTTATTTCTTTTTTATAGTTTTCTGAATTATCTAGTTTTCAATAAATATATATTTTATGATTAGAAAAAAATTAGCTATTTCCATTAAGAAATAAGATATAAATTGTAAGTATGTAAATAAACCAGATTTATGAAGCCCATCAATACAGATTCACAGTAGCAAAGCACTCTCACCTGCTTCATTACACAAGGCTTTCAAGTCTGCTCCAACGTATCCATGAGCACTATTTGCCAGCTGTAACAGTTCAACTTCAGTGAGCAAATGGGGTACCCTTTGAAGCAGTTTCTGGAGAATATCTAGCCGATCTGCAGCATTAGGAACTCCAATCTCAATCTCTTTATCAAATCGTCCAGGTCTTCGAAGTGCAGCATCTAAGGCATGAGGGCGATTTGTGGCCCCAAGGACCAACACCTGTCCTTCACTTCCTTCCTTTCAAAATAAAATGAGAATAAATTACACATTCTTCTTCTTCTTTTTTTTTTTTTTTAAGATTTTATTTATTTATTTGAGAGAGAGAGAATGAGAGAGAGCACATGAGAGGGGGGAGGGTCAGAGGGATCCCTGCCGAGCAGGGAGCCCGATGCGGGACTCGATCCCGGGACTCCAGGATCATGACCTGAGCCGAAGGCAGTCGCTTAACCAACTGAGTCACCCAGGCGCCCAATTACACATTCTTCTAATATATATATGTATGTGTGTGTGTGTGTGTGTGTATATATGTATATATGTATGCACTGGCTATATAAACAAGATCTAAGTGTCCAGGCTGCTGTCTTATCATTTACACTTTAATTACTCACCCCACATTTGCCTAAGTTCAGCCTAAATACTCCCTCACTGAGAAAGTTTTCCACTACACACCTTTCCAACTACACTAAGTGATTTCTTTCCCACTTTTGGCATCTAAACTTCACCATTTCATAAATAGGAACATATAACATCCTACCATATAATTGTTCTAATTTGTTTAAGTTGTCCTTTTCCCCTATTTTAAAGCAAAGACTATGACCTGCATATTATTCAAATAGAACAAGGCTCTATTATACAGTTGTCTAAGAAATCTTATTCATATATGGACTGTACTTTTTTATTCTGATAAATGTTTAAATTCCAAGAAATACAGATGATATAACCAACACCTGAGTATCAGCCACCCTTGAATACATATGAATTTTTCACATAGGAATGAAATTTGGAACAACAAATTATAAAGAACTAAGATAATGATCAGCCATCTGTGAAAGTTATCCAAGATTTTATTCTGATGACCCATGTATAATCTCACAGAGACAAGCTTAACTGACACGTGATTCAAAGTAAGGAAACTCAAACCTATTCACTTATACTGGCTGTGCCAACAGAAAATGCATGGATTACAATAAATCTATGAATTATGAATTTAGAAGACAAATACAGGCCCTTAAGCATTTTCATACTAAAACATCCATGTCACAGGCTTCCAGTCCTGCCCGTGGGCAAAAACACAAGTCCGCAGCAGCCCTATCCCAGCAGCAGAGAAAGAGGCAGCAATGATGTAGTAATTAAAATCCTCTAAAACAAAGCCTTCCATCTGATTTCATACTCACCAGAACTCTTCTAATTGTAATACAGCTCTCCATTCATATTAGCCTTCAAGGTGGAAAGAGTCATCCATAAACAAAGATACTTGGTCAGCTTAATGATTCTACTTACTGTAAATAGACAAACTGGCATCCCAGTTTAATGTATGTCTCTTGTGAGTATTGTTACTGTGGTGCAGTCCTCAGAGCCCTGCCACCCCCAACATACTAGCATCATTGAATTCTCCAATTTTAAAGGCTGAGAACCAAACCTGGGACATAATCACACCAAGTTACTGCACCAAGACTAAGAACCAGGTGGTCATCCAGCCTCCCCTCAGGTATCAAGTCTTCTGTTACTCTTAAAATTGTAACACATGGGGCTCCTGGGTGGCTCAGTCAGTTGAGTGTCTGACTCTTGATTTCGCCTCGGGTCATGATCTCATGGGTTGTGGAACTGAGCCTCATGCTGGGCTCCGTGCTCAGTGGGAAGTCTGCTTAACATTCTCTCTCCCTCAGCCCCTCCCCCCCACCTGCACACATGCGCTCACAAGCGCTCATGCTCTTTCTCTAAAATAAGTTTTTTTTAAAAAACTGTAACACGTTAGCAAACAATGGAGACTTAAAACCCAACCTTCACATTATTTTCACATGTTTAGTTTCTACCAATAGGTAGTAAAAACCAGAAAGTTCCAACTATCCAGTTTTTTAATGTGCAAAGAAAGGAGGGTATGGGACTACATGATTTCTAAAATTTCCTTTGGTTCTAACATATTATAACTCTAAAAAAATGAATTATTTACAATCCTGCATAAGAAATGTATCTGGTAAATGGCTGTCAGGGGTCTAAGAGATTTTTTCTTCATTCTTGTCACACTCCTATGAATCTTCCTTTCATAATCAACATGTAGTTTTTATTAATATGCGAGTGTATGCCCTATCAGAGAAACTGGTAACATGGGTAATTATTTTTAAATGTTGTACATATTTTCCATTATTCTTACTTTCCTTTCACTTGTTAAACTTAAAGCCCCAAAAGAATCAATTTTTACATGAGCAAATAAGACTTAGAAATTTCTTATTGATCTGAACCTTACTGATTTATGCTTCAGGCTTTTAAGTTAATACCATTTACTACAAAAGAAATCCATCATTGTATATTATTTTATATGCTAGAAAAACATGGCAGTATACCCTCCTAGAAGTTACTAAGATATCTGCTGAAGAAAATTATTTTATGGGTCTTTCCTTTAGTTTTTAATATTTTTCCCTATCCTAGAATACCCCAAAACTCAGACATATTTGATACTTTTTGCTACTACATACATATTATTAGGAGTCAACCCTCTCCTACACAGAATCGATACTGGTGCTATACTTACTGAACCAATACCATCCATCAGTGTTAAGAGTGACGCTACCACTCTCTTTTCCACTTCATTCTGAGCCCCTTCTCTCTTAGGACAAAGTGCATCCAGCTCATCAATAAAAATAATTGATGGGTGCCTAAAAACAAACAAGTAAAATGAATTCTCTAATATACACCTGATTTTTAAATTTGATTTATTGTATTTCTTTTTTTTTTAAATATTTTATTTATTTATTTGACAAAGAGATAGAGAGAGCACAAGTAGGCAGAGAGGCAGGCAGAGGGAGAAGGAGAAGCAGGCTCCCCGCTGAGCAGGGAGCCCGACGTGGGGCTCGATCCCAGGACCCTGGGATCATGACCTGAGCTGAAAGCAGCTGCTTAACCAACTGAGCCACCCAGGCACCCCTGATTTATTGTATTTCGATTAAAACTGAATACTTTTAAGTTTTTAATTGAAATGCACATGCAAAAGAATGAAACTGAACCATATACAAAAATTCAAAATGGATTAAAAACCTAAATGTGAGACCTGAAACTATAAAAATCCTAGAAGAGAGCACAGGCAGTAATTTCTCTGATATCAGCCATAGAAACATTTCTTTAGGTATATCTCCTGAGGCAAGGGAAATAAAAGCAAAAATAAACTATTGGGTCTACATCAAATAAAAAGCTCCTGCACAGCAAAGCAAACAATCAACAAAACTAGATGGAAGAAGATATTTGCAAATGACATATCCGGTAAAGAGTTACTATCCAAAATGTATAAAGAACTGATACACCTCAACACCCAAAAAACAAATAATCCAACTGAAAATGGACAGAAACACAAACAGACATTTCTCCAAAGAAGATATAAAGATGACTAACAGACACATGCAAAGATGCTCAACATCACTTATCAGGAAAATGCAAATCAAAACTACAATGAGATATCACCTCACAGCTGTCAGAATGGCTGAAAGCAACGACACAAGAAATAAGTGTAGGTGAGGATGTGGAGGAAAAGGAACCCTCATGCACTGCTGGTGGGAATGCAAACTGGTGCAGCCACTGAGGAGGTTCCTCAAAAAGTTAAAAATATAACTACTTTACGACCCAGCAATTGCACTACTGGGTATTTACCCAAAAAATACAAAAACACTAATTCAAAGGGATACATGCACCCCTAGGTTTACAGCAATGTTATTTACAATAGCCAAATTATGAAAGCAGCCCAGGTGTCCATCAACTGATAAATGAATAAAGAAGATGTGGTATATCTACACAATGGAATATTATTCAGCCATATAAAAGAATGAAATCTTGCCATTTGCAATAACATGGATGGACCCAGAAAGTATAATGCTAAGTGAAATAAGTAAAAGACAAAAATCATATGATTATCTGTTGAATTTAAGAAATAAAACAAATGAGGGGCGCCTGGGTGGCTCAGTCTTAAACGTCTGCCTTTGGCTCAGGTCATGATCCCAGGGTCCTGGGATCGAGCCCCACTTCAGGCTCTCTGCTCGGCGGGAAGCCTGCTTCTCTCTCCCACTCCCCTGCTTGTGTTCCCTCTCTCACTGTGTCTCTCTCTGTCAAACAAATAAATAAAATCTTAAAAAAAAGAAAGAAAGAAAGAAAACAAATGAGCAAAGGGGAAAAAAGAGAGAGAAACCAAAAGACAGACTCTTAACTATAGAGAAAAAACTGATGGTTACCAGAGGGAAGGGTGAAATAGGTGATGGGGATTAAGGAGGGCAATTGTCACGAGGAGCACAGGCTGATATATGGAATTGTTGAATCATTATGTTGTACATCTGAAACTAATACAACAGTGTAAACTATACTGGAATTAAAATAAAAACTTAATTAAAAAAAGAAATGCAATGTATCAAATTTAGGACTCAGTTAATAATATTAAAGACAAAGATAACAGGATGTTAAACTGAAAAACCTTACATTAATTCTAACCCAAATTATTAATTCATCACATTCTAGCAAATCTGAATTCAATAAAAAGCAGACTATTAAGAATAGTCTAGGGCGCCTGGGTGGCTCAGTTGGTTAAGCGACTGCCTTCGGCTCAGGTCATGATCCTGGAGTCCCGGGATCGAGTCCCGCATCGGGCTCCCTGCTCGGCGGGGAGTCTGCTTCTCCCTCTGACCCTCCCCCCCTCTCATGTGCTCTCTCTCTCGCTCTCAAATAAATAAATAAAATCTTTAAAAAAAAAAAAAAAGAATAGTCTACTGCTCATGAGATGAGTCTATGCCCAAACAGACCTTGCCCGCTAATACCCAGTAAATTGTTATGATTGCATCAATTCAGAATCTGAGGCCAGAGATGTCCCCTGGAGCAGGTGTAAAGTCCAAGGTACAGAATTTCCAAATGTGCTCTCTCTCTTTTTTTTTTTTGGCCTATTAAAAAAATCTTTCAAGGTGATCAGTTCTCCCATAAAAAGATGTGAATTCTCTCGCAATAGAAAGCTTCAACTGCCAGGAACAAAACAAAATGAAAACACACTACACAATACAGTATACCACTGGTTCTCAAATTTTCAGTATTGGAACTACCAACTTTATAAGGGACTACCTTATTTCATCCGCTATCTCTGGAAAAAAAAACTTTAAAAATGAAAGTTCTTTGGGGGTGCCTGGGTGGCTTGGTCAGTTGAGCATCTGCCTTCAGCTCAGGTCATGAGCCCAGAGTCTTGAGATCGATCCCCATGTCGGGGTCCCTGCTCAGTGGACAGCCTGCTTCTCCCTCTGCCCCTCCCCCTTCCCCTACACTCGTGTTCTCTCGCTCTCTCTCGCTCTCGCTCTATCTCAAATAAATAAATAAAATCTTTAAAAAAAATGAAAGTTCTTTTGATGAGAGCTGAATTATGATCGGTTAAATACCAAAACAATGGTAGGGACACAGCCTTATTATGAATGTATTAGACCAAGTTATAGGCCACACTCTTATACTCACTGCAATGTAATATGGTAGTCTAAACTGAGGAATAATCAATAAAAATTGTTTTTAAAGAGCAAAAGATTTGTCCCTTTGAAGCAAACCATAATAAAAGTTTTAAGCATAAAGGGCTACTATAATACAAACTGGATATGCCTAAGTACTATAGGTACTCTAAAGAAAGAAAATCATAAATTATATGCTCAAGTAAAATCATATGACTTATACAACACTGTCTTAGTTCTCCTACTTTGTGTAATTCAATAACTCATTGATCAAACTTCCAAAACAATATTAGATAAAAACAGATTAAATACAACTTCATTAGATTTACAATCATTTCTAGTGCTATCAGTATTATTTTTGAGGTTTTCTTTCATGTTTCATATAAAGTGTTAGTAACTCTACTTTGATTAACATAGCCTTGACTACTAATTACAAACATCTAAATGTAAATACCGTAGAGTGGCTTCAGCAAATATCTGCCGTAACCTTGCTTCTGTCTCCCCATAGAATCTGTAACAAATAAAATACATTTAAGGATCAACTCTTAAGTGTTTTTAAAGTTTTGTCTATAAAAGCTCATCTAATTTTTCAAATACTTCCAGAATACTTAAAATTACTTTCAAAAATTATTTTCCAAACTTAATTTGTATACACAATTAAAAGCAAATTTGAAGTATTTCAACAGATGAAATATCCAGACAGAATGCTATGCAGTCATTTTTAAAAATCGCTTTTAACAAGTATTTAATAACACTGTTTATTCTATTAAATTATGCACCTACTTGCTTATAATATCAGGACCATTAATTACAGAAACATAGGCTCCAACTTCATTAGCAACCGCCCTGGCAATCATTGTCTTTCCAGTACCTGGAGGTCCATAGAGTAACACTCCTCTAGGTGGGGGAATTCCTCGAAGAAAAAGAAGAGAAAAATGGATTCAGCATTATTAGGTTTCTTGTGTTGTCATATGACTGCAAACATGAGTTATAAAATATAAATTTACCTTGTATCACAAAACTAAAGTAAGAGTCAGACCTTCTGCCCCTGCCCCCTCCCCCCATAATGTACTAACTGGCCCAAACACTGATCTCCAGCAATGACTTTCTCTCTCTCTATAGACAGGCCAGGCACACTGGTAAAAAACTGGCTGGACACCAGCCACACAATTGCCATGCCCCATCCCACACAGCACAGCTCAGTGATCAGAACACAAAGCTCAGACAAGAACAAGGGCACCCAGAGCAAGCCATAAATCCTAATTTTCATCCAACTAGCCATCTTAGACTATATAAGCATTACTAGCAAAATGTCAAAGGGTTCATATATTTTATATATATAATCTTTATATATATAAAGATTCGTGAAAAATGAAATGGCAGAGAAAGAGATGGTAGGCACCAAATACAGAGGATCTGGGCAGTTACCACACAGAGGAAGCCCTGAGTTTCCTAGGAGCCAATCACTCCCTTAACCACTTGCTTCAATGCAAAGAGACTGCACACAATTATATTTCCTAACAAAGAAGTTTTATCTAACATATTCGAATGTTTGGTTTACTTCTTTGGTCATTACAGCTGATCTAGAATGACAAGATACTAATTCTAGTTCCAATACAAACAACTGTGGAAGGCTGCAACTACCTCACATTACAACCTAAAAAGATCAAGCATGGAAAAAGACTCACTTAACTGGCATCTCCCAAACCAACTCACACCTCCTACCATACCTACCACTCAGGAAAGAAAAACAAGAAAAGAGGATGAGCAATTATTATATAAGTGGAATGAGCCAACTGTTTTTTAATTTGAGTTTAATACTTTTGGTGCAATACAGTGAAGAAATCATACCATAACTCTTGAAAAGTTCAGGCTGTTTGAGAGGCAATTCAATAATCTCTCTAATTGCTTTCAGCTGACTACTTAAGCCTCCTATCATGTCATACGTTACTTTGAATTGGTTGTCTTGCTCTTTTGAATTTGTACAAATGTTTGTAAAATTGACTCTTGTTGTTGAAGAAATAAAATAAAAAATATCAGTGTTGCACTTTGTTCCCACACATGCTGACTTTAGCAATCTCTCTTCATTGACAAGTTGCTCATTTCTTCCTCTGGCTGACTCAAAACTACATTTAAGTCCTGTGACTTCCCCTAGTCCAAGTCCGCTGCTGTCCCCAGGACTCTGTGTAACATCCGACAAAATGTCACTAGCTTTATTTATCATTCTGTCATCTACTGGTTTGCAAGGAGTACTGCTTGATGTTGGGTCCCGAGGCTCTTCCAGATCTAACTGGCTTAGTTGTAGGGATACATCCAGGGTACTGGTTTCTCTGCTGGACTGTTCATAGGCCATTCCCTTGGCATCAATGTCAGAGTCATTCTGAGGCCTTCTCAATATCTTGCCATCTGTCCCTTTCACTTCCAACACTTGCAATTTGCATGGTCGTCCGTAGAATGTACAATACAGAAAGTTGCCTGGTAAAACAATCTTGCCATCTAGAAAATAATTTTTAAATATATGTGTTAGCATAACTTTTCACCCATTTCATGTTTAAACAGCAATTTATTCCATCTATTAACAGAACCATCTGACTGAAGATTAAATCAAAGATAAGAGTATTAATAAAATAATTGCCATAAACAATTCCCATTTGATAGAGCACTATCTGGAGATAGAAGGACAAGATAATTCTTTACAATTCTCCACACTCAATACATCTAGGATTCTATCAACTGTATCAACAAATAACTTGACATTCCACATCCAATAATAAACGAACCTAAAATGGCACACCTAACTAGTACTCCAAGGTAACATTTCTCACTGGAGAAGAGCTCAAGGGTTAAAAGTCTCAGTTCTCCCACTGACTTTGTCCACAGATAAGTCATATATTCTCTCCAATGCTCAACTGCCAATTAATTAGGGAGAAAAAAAATTCCTATCCCAAAAGAACATTAATTCATTGAGAAGACCACTCTCCATATTATGTTGAAGAAAATTATGATCTATACAAGACCTCAAAGACACATTACTTTATTTACTGCTACCTTGCTTCTTACAATTTAAAAAACTATTTAAAATATATGCCTCACCTAATTTTCTCAGAAGACAACCAGTCAGTTGTTCTTTATTAATATCCACATTTTTGTCACTGTAAAGGGTGGGGGAAATAGAAATCAGCATTAAGTACACCAGAAACTAAATGTAATATAAAATTACATGTACATGGCTGTAATACAGACCTAGTCAAAAGAATAATTTACAAACTGGAAATGGTTTATACAATTTGGGAATGATTTGTGCTTCTCAGATACTTCTAATAGCCATGAAAATATCATTTGCAATTTGGTGTCCTAATGACTTAAATTAATGTTCTTCAAAATATTGAGTACTATACATTAGTGGATCATGAAATCATTTCAGTCAATCCCATCCAGCATTTTTTTTTTTGATAGAATACAAAATGTCAAAGTATATCACACATAGAAAGGGAAAATACTTCTTGGAAAAGCATTACTTTCTTATACATACACATCTTACACACACACACCTCTATATACTCATGTTTACAGCTATACACATGTCAGTGCATATGTGCCCTGTAACTGTGGATGTATGCATACACTGAATCACAATGAAATGTATTTTTTATTGTGTGTCATAGCCAAAAACATTTGAAAAACACTGGCCTGAATTAATCATTCCATTTCTGAAACTGCCTAGCTTGGAGAAAGGCTTTTATTAATAGCTTACTTCATTCCCTTTCTATAATTTATAGATTAACTTTCAGGAAAATTAAGTCCTTTATAGGATAGTACCTGAAAAAGTAGAAATAAGAAAAAAGGAGAGTAATAGTGTAATGGAATTTAATTCTGGAGAAAGGACCTTTCTCCAGAAAAGGAAAAATGAGAACCCCTTCTTCTACTAATGACTGTCTTCCTAGAAGGTTGCTTGAGTACAGGAAGTAGATATATCTGAAAATCATTACACTTGTAAAGAGACACGTCCTTGGAGAGTTCTCAGAATATGTGCATTTTTCCTTCTTCCCCACATGCAAGTAGCCTATACCAGCAGAGGAGGCCCACAGTTGAGAGCTCTGCCAGAGATCAGTGGAGAAGCAATAGTTTAGCTCAGGAAGAGGTATATTAGCAGACCCATCTGGTCCAAATATAAGCCTTGTTCTCCAAATACCGTATCAGCAAAAAACAAAACCAATAGAGTCAACTTCATTATTTGCAGATTCACCTACTTGCTAAAATTTATTTGTAACCCTAAAATCAATACTAGCAGAGCTTTCCTCGTCATAGACATGCATAGAACAGGCAAAAAAATTCAAGTTGCTAAACGCTTTCCTAGTTGAGGCTGAGTAAGTACTCTTGTTTCAATTCTCTCAGAGGTAACAAAAGGATGGAGAGTGGAGACAGTGGGAGGCAGTGCAGTGTACAGCAAAAAGTCCCAGGTCTTGTGCCAGCTGGAGATTTGAATCCCAACTCTGACATCTCTTAGTGAGGTGGCCTCAGGCAAGTCACATAACACTTATGAACTACTGCTTCTCTTTTATAAAATAAAGAAGACAAAATCTATCAGAATTAGTTGCTTTAAGATTATAATGTATATAAGATATACATATTTGTATATTAAATACGCACTAAATATATTAATATTAGTATATATTGTAAATAATATATGTTAAATATACATTTAATATAAACGTAGCAGCAATGGTTCGGTATTTGCTAATATAGTGTTCACAGCAACTTTATAGCACATACTTGCCGCTAATAATGAAAACTGACGGCATATTCATATAAAGGAGAGAGAGAAAAATAGACAAGAAGGAAATTTCAAATCAAAGGTATATATAGACTATGTAGGAAGTTGTAGCTCCTTAAATGCTTGAATTCACTTCTGTCTACAGAACTGTGAAACCAGTTATACTTACTTAAATCATTCCTATTTATTAAACTCTGAATAGAAGATACTTAAAAATATGTGTAAGAAGAGTAAAAATACTGAGTTTTGCTTTTAAAAAAAGAATGGGTGCAGATAAAATCACTTCCACTAGAAGGAGCCCTAACCTTACTAATAAAACTCAGAAGCAACCGAAGGATTTAATCAGGATAAAATTACTGATTTTTCTGATTGGAAATTAAGTTTCTTATCTAAGCTCTGCTGCCACATTCAAAACACAAGTTTTTTTTTAGTAAAATTTTAAAAACCAAGCTCCATTTAAAACATACAGTTCCTCTATAGTAGACAATCATTATCACCTAAGACTGCTGTTCCCTCAAGAGGTCACACTAGTTAGATCATCAAAAAATCTGGTCAACTGATGACTGCAACCTGTAGCACTGTCTCAGAACAGTCTAACGATTAATACTGTTTAATCTGAGTAGAACTACTACCTAACTCACCGAGCCCATTTCCTCATCTTTAAGAAAGGGACAATATGGGCACCTTGCAGGAGGATTAAATGAGAGAAGAGGGGAAAAGTGTATGTGCATGTGTGTACTGGTGCACAACACATGCTGAGTTCTCTTTTCTCTTCCTTTTATTATATTGTTAGTTAAAATGTTATTAATTCCTCTGAAAAAAGTTTCCTGGTTTATAAAAAAAAAAAAAATATGATGAAGCTCAAGCCTGTAATCTACAGAAGTAGCAACAGAGACAAAAACATAATAAAATCAAGCTAATGAGGGGCACCTGAGTGGCTCAGTCGTTAAACGTCTGCCTTCGGCTCAGGTCATGATCCCAGGGTCCTGGGATCCAGCCCCGAATTCGGCTCCCTGCTCGGCGGGAAGCCTGCTTCTCCCTCTGCCTTTGCCCCTCCCCCCTGCTTCGGCGCACGCACTGGCACGCACTCTCTCTCAAATAAATAAAATATTTTAAAAAATAAATAAATAAAATCAAGTTAATGATTGTTAAATGTTTTGTGATTCTTGCATATAAACACACCCCCAAAACTGTTAGTAAGCTAGTATTAAAGTATCAAAAGATGCTTTTTGTAAACAAATTTTGGTAAGACTTGCATACGCAAACTGAGTTACAATCCTATTAGATACAGAGTATCCAAGAGAATCAGTGATAAACGTTAACTGTATTGATAAGTTCATTCAATTAGTCTTTGGTAAGGGACTATTTCAAAGTCTGATAGAAATAACTGTTTTATAGACTGAATAATCAACGAGTTAAAATATATAATTGGGTACTTTGCTTGAAGTCCTTTTTTTTTTAAAGTTATTTATTTGAGAGAGAGAAAGAGAGCGTAAGCACATGCATGAGTCAGGGGAGGGGCAGGAGAGAATCTTCAAGTGGACTCCCCACTGAGCGGCAGAGCCCGTGGGAGGGTGAGGGGCTCAATCTCATGACCCATGAGATCACAACCTGAGCTGAAACCAAGAGGTGGACACTTAACCAACTGAGCCAGCCGACACCCCTGTAACAGTCTTGATTAAAACTTGTTTCTTGCCTATTCACAGTACTCCCTCCTTTACAACAGCCCTGATTACACTGTAAAACAAGATAAAAACTATTGTTAAATATACACCAATACTAATCCCTCTCACCTAAAATATCAGGGCATACTCTAACCACAGGACATTAGAGAGTCTCTAGTTCATACCTTAGGTGGACTCATCTAGCTTGTGCTGTCTAATACAGTAGACCACTAGCCACTCGCCACGTGTGGCTATCAAGAGCTTAAATGTGGCTAGTCCAAACTGAGATGCACTACAAGTATAACATACACACTGGATTTTCAAGACTTAGTTTGAAAAGTATCTTATTAATAGTTTTTTATAGTTATTATAAGTTAAAATTTTATAAATTAATATTAATATTAATATAATATTATATAAGTTAAATATTAAATAATATTTAATAATGATTAAATTAAATATTAAATGAAATAGTTCACCAATTTCATTTTCCTTCTTAAATGTGACTACCAGAAAATGCAAAATTACATATGTGGTTCACATTTGTGACTCTTGTTCTATTTCTACTGGGCAGCACTGATCCAGACTGTCACCAAAGAAAAGAGCCAAACCTGAGTGCCAGGTCCATTTCCTCAGCCTGTAGCACAGCACCCAACAATGGCTGGACTTGGATGGCATCACCAACCTTCACGCCCACATTCTTCTGTGCCATTTCACTCAGGCCAACCTTACCTCCAGGAAATCCTGCCACAGGCCAGGCCGTATAGACCTGCCCAGAACACAGGATATTAAAATATGAGAAAATAAATATTCATAGAGTATCATTAATTTATAAAGCAGAAAACTAAGCACAGCTAAGCATATGGATCTGCAAAACACAGTCCTTAACCCAAGGAGTTACAATCTGAGAAGTTAGAGAAAAAACTTTTAAGATAAATATTATATCTTCTTGTGAAGATTAGGAATGATCCCACACTGAAAATGATTTGAAGATTTGAAAGGTAATTTAGGAAAAGAGACAAAGGCATTAACATGTAGTAAGAAGAAAAGAGGAAAAAATACTAAAGACAAACTAACTGTAAGGTAATCCAGCCTGGAGCATAAACTACATCCAGGAAATAGTGAAGGACCTGGCACAAGAGCTTCATGAGAACCTGGATCACATCAGACTTAAATGTTAAGGGAGAGAAGCAAAGACTTCCAGTTCCAAATAGTGGGCTAAGCTCATACATTTGTAGTCTTCCACAAGACACAGCAAAGGACTCTTTTTTTCTTTTTAAGAATAATGAAAAGAATGAGCGGTGTGCCCTCAGCACATAACAGATTTCAAATCATTTTCGGTGGACCCCGCTGGATGAGAGGACCCCGGCTAATGAAGCAGCAGAAAAAATGTCAGAAGCAGAGGCCAGAAGCAGGGCAGAACCAGGAAAGGTTCTGGGCTTCCAGCCTCAAGTATGATGAACAGCAGCAAGAAAAAACAGCTGAAAACAGGGAGGGCAATCAAATATTTGTACACAAAAGAGATAACTTTCATATTCCCAAACAGCATTTCTGTGAAAAAAATATAACAGACTGAGGGGGATAGGGCTGATACTATGTGTGTCACTACCTCCGGAAGAAAGGCCTCTCTCTACATTATGACATTTAGGGGCTACTATTCCCAGTATAGTCATAGACATCAAAGGAAGGAAAAGTTTATACAGATGGGAGGATCTTCTAAAATATAGTTTTTCATTTACTACTGCTTTGTTGAAAATTAAAATAAAAAACATCTCAAATCTTTCTTTCTTTTTTTTAATGTTTTATTTATTTATTCATGAGAGTCAGAGAGACAGAGAGACAGAGAGAGAGAGAGAGGCAGAGGCAGAGGGAGAAGCAGGCTCCCCGCCTAGCAGGGAGCCTGATGCGGGACTCGATCCCAGGACCCTGGGATCATGACCTGAGCCAAAGGCAGATGCTTAACGACTGAGCCACCCAGGCGCCCTCAAATCTTTCTAAACTAAGGAAATGAAAAAGACTCTTACCTCTTGTTTTCCATCCAAACTGGTAAGCAACACTGGTCGACCTATACATATATTTGCGGATTTCATAGTGTTGAGTCCAAGTTGAACAAGGGAATTCTGGAATGTTTTAGGAACTTTGTCATCTACCAAAAAGGGAAAGAAAATTATTTTCATACTATTTTATAGCTGAAGTTAAAGCCTGCTTTCTTTTGGAGTAAATAAAAATCCTCTCTCCACATAACCACGTGAATGCACTTACCATACCCTAAAGAAACCACAGTTCCAATCCTTTTTTTTTTTTTTAACAAAAAGACTTAACACCAAATCTTTTTGAGGGTCCACTGACCGACAATACGAGTGCTAACTAAAAAAAGATGTCTTATGGGCTACGTATTAGTTTTCATCTTTTAAGAAAAATAATCTCTAATTTCTTTAAAAACTGAACATAGATGAAATAGGCTTCTCATACTTGCATAGTAACCTTTTGTACTACAGATTCTAGTTGAGTTGACTACTGGTATTCAAAGACTTGAGCTGGGGTACTGGCATTTAGCTCTGGAGGGTTAAATTACATTTCCACTTCTGATCCACAGGACACCAGTCAGATATTTTTCTTTTCTAATGCCAAGAATACATGAGTAAGATAATAATAGCACAGGTCTTATTCCTTAGGTAAGCAACACACTGACTAAAATGACCATTACTGTTTTCAACTTTTGGCCAAGGAAGGGGACAAGAAGTCAGCCCAGCTGGCAACACCTCTGAAAATGATGTGCTAACATGTCCACCCTGCCCCCTCACCTCCTCAAGGTCCACATTTGGTCTTTCCTCTGCTTCTTCCAGCACCCTATGCTGCCAGAGACTAGCATTTATCATCATAATATACATTCGTTTTATAGTCTTTCTCCTAAACCATATACTGCTTTGGGCACAAACTGGGTCAAATTCATCTCTGTATCTCCAATGCCTAGTAGTGCATCAAATATAGAAGTTGCATAATAGATATCCATGAAATCAATGAACATAGTAGATGACTACACACTATTTTTCTTTTCAGCACAAAATCCATGAGACACGAAATTTTAACCTGTCACAAACTTTGTTATAAAATTTATTATTAGACACATATACCATAATCATACTTCTCTAATATTAGTGTTCCTTAATAATAAAAAAAAGAGCACTGTGAATTGTGTAAGACTGTTGAATCACGGATCTGTACCTCTGAAACAAATAATACATTATATGTTTAAAAAAAAAAAAAAAAGAAGATAGCAGGAAGGGAAAAATGAAGGGGGGGAAATTGGAGGGGCAGACGAACCATGAGAGACTACGGACTCCAGGAAACAAACTGAGGGTTCTAGAGGGGAGAGGCGTGGGGGGATAGGTTAGCCTGGTGATGGGTATTAAAGAGGGAATGTATTGAATGGAGCACTGGGTGTTATATGCAAACAATGAATCATGGAACAGTACATCAAAAACTAATGATGTATGTATGGTGATTAACATAGCATTAAAAAACACAGATATTTTGTAATTTAAAAGGAACAAAGTCAATGAAAGCAAAACCATGTCTGATTTAATTATTTTTGCCATTACAAAATAACTACCCAACATACGTATTTTCCTTCCTGTCATCAGCTGAACAAATCTAGAAAAACAAAGCATCTCATGGAGCTAAGATTAACAGTACTGAGCATTTATAGAATAAGCATATTTCATAATGAGGCTGAAAAGAAATTCAACTTTCCAATGAGCATTAGGTCTCTTACAGAGCATACTCATCAATAACAGCAAAGCATCCTTTTTGTGACCTCATAAGGTTGTTTCTGCCACTTCTTTCTTCCTAAACCCATGAATTACCCTTCCCTCTGGATAAGTACCTCACAGGTGTATTCAGTCCTTGGCAATACTCTAGGTTTTCTTCTTCTCTTCCTTCCATCCTATCCTGCACATTCACCATGCACCAGGATTTGACAAATCACAGGTTCTCTAAATACCTCCACTTCCTCCCTATGAAGATCACTTTCTAATTCTCATCCACTGACCTTATTTCCTAAAACATCTCCATGCGTTCTCTTACAGCATTCAAATCTACTCAAGCTGTACTCCACACAATTCCTTTCACCAGTCCTCATTCCTCCAATATTGTACTTTAAAAATACATCTCAACATCCACTCTCCCCATCAATTAACTATGCATTTATTGAGCACTTCATGTGCCAGATTAGTAAAGGTAATTTTAAACAACCACCCACTCTTCATTTGTTCATCCAAACATTTATTATCCCACATTAACATCCCACTACATGGCAAATAATATATTAGGCACTAGGGATACAAAGTGAACAGAAGTGGATAGTCCTTGGCCTCACAGAGCTTATAATCTAATAGGATGAGAAAGTTATTAAACAATCACTGAATAACTGTGTAATTGTAAGCTAAGATTACTACAATGTAAGAATGACTAAGAGTGCTGAGAAAGCCTATTATGTGGAATCTAATCTGGAAGAAACAGAGACTGCTTCTCCAAGGAAGTAAGTTTAAATTCAGTCCAAAGGAAGAGTAGGAATTAACTAAACAAAGAGGAAAAAAAAGATAATTCTTGGCAAAGAGAACAGCTTGTACAGAGAAGTACTGGACAGAAGGCAGCACTGTGCATCTTAGAAAAGAGTACAGGCAAAATGGCAGGAGACAAGAAGGGGCCACGTAAGAAGATCAAGACCTCCCAGGGCAGTAGGCTATAGCAAGCAGCAGCTCGTTCATTTTCTCTCTCAGCAAATAAATCTTTTAAAAAAATAAAATGTTAAAAAAAGAAAGAAAAATCCAAGAAAAGATGTACAGCACAATGCTATACAAACTATAGAAATGATCCCTGAAAGTATAGTCTTAGCACAATGCTATACAAAGTGTGGTCAGCAAACTATTTGTTACTGGTTCATGATGGGATAAGTACAGCAAATAAGGGTTTAGTAGCTTTTATTACAATTGGACAGAGTAATCCTACATCTCTTGAATCCAATAAAAATTTCTATTTTTAAACTTATTTTTCTAGTAATTCGTTTTTATTGTATTTTACAACAGTGCCAAGCTGTGACATATACATATATATATATATATATATATATTTTTTTTTTTTTTTTTGAGAGAGAGTGAGCGAGCGAGAGTACAAGCTGGAGGAGGGGCAGAGGGAGAGGGCGAAGCAGGATCCCTGAGGAGCAGAGAGCCCGATGCGGGGCTCGATCCCAGGACCCTAGGATCATGATCCGAGCCGAAGGCAGCCGCTTAACCAACTGAGCCACCCAGGTGCCCCAACATATCATATTTTAAAAAACTTTCCGGGGTGCCTGGGTGGCTCAGTTGGTTAAGCGACTGCCTTCGGCTCAGGTCATGATCCTGGAGTCCCGGGATAGAGTCCCGCATCGGGCTCCCTGCTCGGCGGGGAGTCTGCTTCTCCCTCTGACCCTCCCCCCTCTCCTGCTCTCTCTCTCTCATTCTCTCTCTCAAATAAATAAAATCTTTAAAAAAAAAAAAAAAAAAAAAAACTTTCCCTACAGAATTTGAGTAGTATTGGCCTAGAAGGCACCTGAACCAAGACTCAGAAATAGTATAAATTACAAATATAAATTCGAAAATGATGAAAGTATAGATGAAAAACTCTGGACATTGGATGAACTTGCCAAAGAAAGATTTATACAGAGAAAAAGAGGGTTTTAGGACTAAGAATTGAGGCACTTAGCCATTTGGCAGCAAAGTAGAAAATGAGCCTGCAAAGGAAACTGAAAATCTACCTACCAACAAAAGGATGGAGAAAAACTAGGAAAGTTTAATGGCACATTGCCAAAAATTAAAGTGTGGTTTGTTTGTTTTTTAAGATTCTGTTTATTTATTTGAGAAGCAAGAGAGAGTGAGTGATAGAGAGAAAGAGTATGACCCGGGTGGAGGGGCACAGGGGGAGAGAGAAGCAGATTTCCCACTGAGCAGGGGGCCCCACAAGGGGCTTGATCCCAGGACTCTGGGATCATGACCTGAGCCGAGGGCAAACGCTTAACATACTGAGCCACCCAGGCACGCCCCAAAATTAAAGTGTTTTAAGAAAAACGAAATGGTAGACAATGCCAGAAGTTGCTGAGAGGTCAAGTAAGGGAAGTAAAGAAAAACTGTCCATTGTATTTATCAACATGGAGATGATCAGTGACCATGACAGGGACAGTTTCCATAGAATGATGGGATAGATGTCAAAACTTAAATAGGCTAAGGAGTAGGTGACAGATGAACAGACAGAGACTACTCCATTTACGAAACTTGGCAATGAGCTACACCTGGCTGGCTCAGTCAGTAGAGCATGCGACTCTTGATCTCAAGGTTTTGAGTTCAAGTCCAACGTTGGGAGATCACTTAAAAATAAAATCTTAAAAAGAAAGAAAGAAAGAAAGAAACTTGGCAATGAAAGGATGGAAACAGAGAGGGTGGTGGTAAGAAGAAAATGTGGAACTTTTGTTTTGATTTAAGATGTAAGAGAAATCAGCAGGTTTAAATTTCAAGGGAAGGATCCAGTTGAAAAAGAGATTGTATATTCAGGACAGAACAAGTTATCCTCTGATCCCTAGATGAAACTGAAAACACTGTGTTAACTCTAAGATTGTCATTAGGTTGTGCATTAGACATAAAATTCTTGCCACCAGTTTAACTGGTGTTCCATTTTTTCCAAAGCTATAACACAGCTTCAACACACAGAAGCTTTACCAATGAACTTTTCCGATAAATCCGTTCTCCTAACTCAAGGGAGCTCTGATCTAGAATAAGGGCTTTAAAGCTAAGTACCTCCTGCCACTTAGTACCTGTGGAACCTGGAGCCAATTACATTAACTATTCTTTCTCTGTGAAATGGGAATAATACATTCCCATCTTCCAGGTCTTCTATTAAGGTTAAAGGAGATATGTGACATACCCAACCTACTGATAACAATACTATGTAACTGGTGGCTGTTACTAACTTTCAGAACCCTTGTAGTAGAAGAAAAAACCCTAAAGCCTTTCATTCTTAGAGACACAGCGGTATCTCTTAGGAAGGATGTATCCACATCTTCACTGTTTAGTTTTCTGGTATATATATCCCATGCTCGCTACCTTTAAGCAATGTTACAGTTAAATACGTCGTTAAACGAGGCAAAGTCGTTTCAAGTGCAACTTATAAATTCAAAACAATTTACAAAAGTAAATGACTTAATCCACGGTGAAGCCGCTTCTGTCTAACTTCTCCAATGCAGGCACGGCTTCGGGTGTACAAACTTGTGTGCCACTCTCACACCTGGGTCTCGCCCAATCCTCAAAAGCCTCTGCACCTTAAAGGCGACATCGCTAGGTCTACGTTCTTCTCAGGCTGCGCCCCCTCGGCCTCAGGTCTCCCACCCAGAACTCTTTACCCTTTTCTAAGAAGTTGGTCACCACCAGAATCCCGGCCGCTGCCGCCGTGCCTGGCCCAGCAGAAGGAGCAGGGGGCCCCGAAGGAGAGGAAGCAGAGGAGGGCGAGGTTGAACCATTCTCTGCGCTTCGGTTCAGCCGTTTTCTGTTCTTCTTGGAAGACATGATCAGGAGGCAGCCTAGGAAAAGCCACCGCAAAACCGGCTCCCAACGTGCTCGGTTCTGGGGAAGAAAAACTTCCGGGGCAGAAGTCAGCGAGACTCCGCCCTGCGCCGTAATCCCCCAAGTGGAGCGCTGTAGAAAAAGGGAGACCCGAGCATTTTCAGAACCCGCCATCTTGGAAGAAGAGGTTCTGACTTTTGCAAAGGAAGACGGATTACGTGGACACAAGGTCATTTAGATTGTAAATTCCTGAAAAACAGGATTTTTTTTTTTTATCATCTCTGCCCGCCTTTCCCATCCCATCCCTGAACAAACGTCTGTTGACTTAAACTAGAAAAAGAAAGTGGTGGAAAAGTTTCTCTCCGGCTTTCCTGGAACCGGGCAAATTCCTGAGAGGAGCTGGTGAACAGGACTTCGCGGTCACTTCAGTACAGCGCTAAAAAAAAAAAAAAAAAAAGTGGTAACAGCGCAACTTCTAGAAGAATGGGTGGCACTCTTCTAAAATTTACGGTAGCGACCTCTGCTCTGGAACTCAAAGGAAGGTTAATTTAGGGGCCGAGCTAGTGGTGGGACGCGGACGCGTAAATGCCGCCACTAGCAAGCGGGCGTTTTTGGCGCGCAGTGCTCCTGCGGACCTGCAGCGCAAGGCTCTTGGGGCACCACGGGGCTTCCGGCGGTCCGGGTTGCAAGTGGAACCCTCCTGTCGGAGCGGAAGAGCTGCGGGGAGAGCTGGACAGATTCGGGGGCGTCTCGGTGCGCCTTGCGCGGCTCGGCGCGCTGGACCGCCTGGACGCCGCCTCATTCCAGAGGGGCTTGCAGGGCAAGTGTGCCTGGGCCGAGGGGTTCCCGGCCTCCGGAGCCTTTCTAATGAAGTAACCGGGGCCCCGGTTCACCTGACACGCTCTCCGCGAATCAGTACCGAGCCCTAGGGAGAGAGGGCAGGTGTGACCCATACCGATTTCGCCCCCTTTCGTTCTTGTGTCCCTTGCTGGGCGGTTTCTGGGGCGGTTGGGTGAAATAGTAACTATCCCAGACTTTGAGATCGGCAGCCCGAGTTTCTGCTGCACTTTCTTAGTAAGGACCAAATATGTGACCTTCGGCAAGTTCTGTAAACTACCATTTCCCCTACCATAAAACCGGTTAGTATCGCAAAGGATTGCTGAGGGTTAAGTTGGGTAATGCATATAAAGTGCATATCACGGTCTCTGCCACATACTTAACGCTCAGTAATGTTAAAATTATTTACTATCATTTACCGGGCCTTAGTTCTGCGGGGCACTTTGCCCGAGACAGAACTATACAGGTGGTGGACAATGAGTGGACTCGAGAGATACTAAGTGGTCATTTTTGTACACAAATTGGGTCAGGCTGACGCATCAAGAACTTGAGTTTGCTAGAGACAAAACAAGTCTTTTATGGTTAACAAGGGAGGGTAGGTAGTGGGCGGTTTCAGTCTTCAGTAAGAAAATTCGCCACTCTTCTTGGACCTAAGTCCAAAGAGAGGAAAGAAAGCTTGGATGGAGGAGCCTTCAGTTTGAGAGAAGCCCGTGATTTGGTTGGGAGTTTTTCCGACTGCCCCTGATGGTTCTTCTATTCGAATTGAAGGCCTAGCACGGAAATTCAGCCTTGGAAAGATTCTCTCACTCTAAAAGGAAACTTCAGATAATCTTTATCCTATTGAGCCATTAATAAGGCAATTAATGTATGGTCTATGTAAATATAATTGAGCTAGTTATTTCATTCTTTAATCATTCTCCTTCCCAAACTACCTCTTCACCGCATTTTCTCTCCTACTTGGGAATAATTACTGACTCCAACAATATCAACAGTAGGAGAATCAAGTCAATGTTCATACTCTAATACATCTACCTCTGTGTAGTATAGGAAGATACAGATATTTATTGCACACACTTGTCACATGTCAGTGGCCAGGTGGTTAAAGCACTTTCTTAGACAGGCAAAGCATGAGGGTTGGGTTTAGAGTCATACATCCGGGTTTCAACCCCAGATTCTGACAGGTGCTTAGCTGGGTAGTAGGCAAAACCACCACTAAAAATATTTGCGTCTTAGGTTGCGTACGTGAATAATGCCAACCCTAATTACTTTACTGGATACATGTGATCGAAGATAAATTATAGGAAACTAATTTATAATCTGTAGTACCATATACTTTTTATAGTTTTTAATAAACATTTTAATGTTTTAATAACATTTTAATGTTTTAATAAAACATTCTATTGCATTTATGAATTCCTATTGCTAAACACTTTTAAGAACTTTACAAATATTAATTCATTTAATCCTCATAACAACTCTGAGGTAGATACTGTTACCTTTATTTTAAAGGTGATGGTACTGAGGCACAGAGAGATAAGTAACTTCCCTTGGCTCTGGAATCTGTTCTTAATGCATTATGCTGCCTCTAAGAGCTAGTGCAAATTTTGTTATTAAGTCAAACTAGCTTTTTCACTTGATTAGAATGACTAGGGAGGATATGTGAACTTTCTGAAGTAATAGAAATGTTCTTTAATCTTTACTGGAGTGTGTTACATAAGTATGCATATGTCAGAACTCATTAAATGTACACTTAAGATTTGTGTACTTCACTTTATGTACTTGTACATCAATTTTAAAAGGATTTAAATCAGAGAAAGAGGTGGGTGAGAAGGATCTGACTCCATAGCCCCAAATCAAGAAGCTTTTATGAAAGACCCCCATGTGTTTGTCACTGTATTAGACCCACTGCCTTTTAAAGAGGTAGAGAACAGGGTCCTTAACGAGGGAGTCACTTACTGCACAGCTGGAGAAGAGAAGAGGAGGAAAAGAAATTTAACCATTAAATAAATAATCAAACCTTCCCACCACCACACACACACACAATTTGCAAGATTATTGTAAAGATTAAGTGAGGTGATGGATGGAGAAAGTGATCTGAGAAGTTTCTCTAAGACTGCAATATTCTTCACCCATAAATTAGGGGCGATAATACTTGCCTTTCAGGTTGTGAGAATGTAATGAGATAATATATGTAGAGTGTCTAGAACTTAGTAAGGACCAAATGTTAGAATCTTTTTCTTCTGGCTTAATCTTAAGTAATAAGAGAATTTGCAGAAGTCAAAAACAGAAAAATCTACATTCATCTTGGTATTTAGAGTAGGAGTAAGAGGTTGGTTAAGTAGCTTTTGGTGTACCTATCTGAGGAAAATTATGCAGTCGTTAAAAACTTATGTTCATTAAAAATTTTAATGATATAGCAAAGTGTTTATAATAAGTAGTAAAAGATATGTTGTAAATTATATATGGTGTGATGTCAATTCCAAAATTCATGGAAAAATGTCAAAATTATATTTTTATCTCTGCATGCTAGTAAGATATGAAGTCTTGATTTCTTCATTATATTTTCAGTTTTTTCTAGGACTGGTATACATTATTTAAAAACAAAGTTAGAGTTTTAAGCACCTTGAAATTTATAAGCCAAAAAAACTATAACAGAACTCTTAAAGAAAGTGGAAGTGGAAGCCCTTAATAGTCATTTATAAAGATTAAAACTAAGGATGTTAAAAGGAACAGCATTAAAATGGTATTTTATTTAAATCGAGTTTTTTTGTTCATTCTACAAATATTGAGCACCAGTTATGTGCCAAGCATTGTGGTCAGGTGATATGAATATACTGACTCTATTCTCAAGGAATTCAGTCTGATGGAAAAATCACATAAGCAAGGTACTAATTACAATAAAACATGATAGTTCCCATGCTGTTGATGTGAACAGAGCATTTTAGGATTCCCCTCCCCCATCGCTTCCAAGCTAACTACTAAGGGAGGTGGATGTTTTAGGATGGCTTTTTAGAAGAGGTGATACCTGAGATCTTCCACTCGTTTCACTGGAAAATGTTTACAGATTTTTATCCTCATCTGCATTTTAGCTGCAGTACAACAATGGAGATCAGAAGGTAGGATAGCGGTATGGCTGCATATTCCCATCCTCCAAAGCCGATTTATTGCCCCTGCTGCTTCCCTGGGTTTCTGCTTTCACCATGCAGAATCGGATTCATCCACGCTGACACTGTGGCTGGGAGAGGGACCCAGCAGATTACCAGGCTATGCTACACATCAAGTAGGAGTTGCAGGTCAGTTTCAAACTAACAATAAAATTAACCTTTTAGAGGTTCACCCAATTTTTTCTTACAGCTAAGTGATAGTTTATTCATGTGTAATGAGTAGTTTGATAAAATAATCCTTGGGATTATTAAGGAGTGCCTTAAATAGATGAAGTTTGCCTTATGAATCAGCAGAGGGCAGCACACCAAACAAGTTTGGTGTTTAGTTTTCCAGAGGATACCTTTGAACACTTTTATATAGGTACTTGAACTTCAGTACGCAAATGGTAACACTGAATTGGGATCAGGGACTAAATCATTATGGTAAAACATATTAGTACTAATTATGTGAATTTGTAAAATAAAAGATAATTTTTAGGTTGAATTTAAGGTAAAGCAAAGCAGATTTTTTATTTGGACATTACTTCTTAATTACATTAAGTTATGGTGCCAAACAGTTGCTTCAGATAGCATAATTGAAGTATATTATGGACTTTTCAAGCCACTGATTAACTTCAAAGACATGGTCTTGAGAGATTTGCTTTAGGTTAAGACTGGAGTTCTCAAATTGTAGAGTGTGTCAAAATCACCTGGAGGGTTTGCTGAAAACACCACTGCTGGGCCCCACAACTAAGAGTTTCTGATTCAGTTGGTGTGGGGGGTTGCCAGAAAATTTGCATTTCTAATAAATTCTCTGCTGCTACTGCTAATGTTAATGCTGGTCCCTGAACCATCCTTTGAGAACCAGGGGTAAAAAAAAAAAAAACTGAGGGGCGCCTGGGTGGCTCAGTTGGTTAAGCGACTGCCTTCGGCTCAGGTCATGATCCTGGAGTCCCGGGATCGAGTCCCACGTCGGGCTCCCTGCTCAGCAGGGAGTCTGCTTCTCTCTCTGACCCTCCCCCCTCTCATGCTCTCTCTCTATCTCATTCTCGCTTCAAATAAATAAATAAAATCTTTAAAAAAAAAAAAAACTGAAATAGTAAGTCCTTATGACTTAAATGA